CGTGATATAATATTCTCTCCCTCTAAAAAAAAAAAAAAAAAAAAAAAACTATTGAAACAAGCTCAAAATGCAAACACAAATGAACTTGGCTAGTTCAAAGGCCAATCCAAGGATCTTGTTCAGGCCATGAGAGCTCTCACCATGTATATACAGGTGTATGGCCATACACAGTAGCCAACCAAGGATGGAAACAGTAAAATAGAACAATGGGTAACTACCCCTAGGTGGTGGAGGAGAGACTATCCAACCAGGACCGCCATATTTTCACAGATTTTGTAGGACACCTCCTGCTGTTATAGGTAGATTGATAAAACGGACCAATTTGTTCACCAGCCCTTTCCAATAGGCTGAGGGTATCACTGGCCTTTTCCAGTACAGAATCAGTGCCTTTCGTGCATAGAACAATAAGCGACTGAGCAGGGTACGTATGTCTGGTCTTGTTAGGCTGCCCATACACCAGTAACATTTTCATTTTCAAAATGCTCATCCAATTTTCTAAGTTTTAGTTATGGGTCTGCTGAGTGGAAGTTGTGTGCACCACAACTGTAAATGATTCCCACCGAAGCCCTAAGGCGTGTCTGTGGCAGTCTAAAGGTGGCCATATACCAGTAGAATTTTTGTTTCTTGAACGTTTGTTCAATTTTCTAAGTTTTGGCTATGGTTTTGAGTTCTACATAGGATCCAGTGTACAGCAGAGGTGCACTTTGCAGAACTTCTTTCCAATCCTTCTATGGAAGGTGTATGCACTGCAACTGTAAATGATTCCCACTGAAGCCTGAGGTCATGTCAGTGGCAGTCTAAAGCTGGCCATACACCAGTAGAATTTTCATTTCTTGAACGTTCGTTCAATTTTCTAGGTTTTAGCCATAACTTGCCAAGTGGCTGTCCTTGAGTTCTATTCCACACTGGATACAGTGTACAGCAGGAGCAGACTTTGCAGTGCCTCTTTCTCATCCAGATGAATATGGCTCTATGGAATTTGTGTACACCGCAACTGTAAATGATTCCCTCTGAAGCCCTAAGGTGTGTCTGTGGCAGTCTAAAGTTGGCCATACATCAGTAGAATTTTTGTTTCTCGAACGTTTGTTCAATTTTCTAAGTTTTGGCTAAGGTTTTGAGCTCTACATAGGATCCAGTGTGCAGCAGAGGTGCACTTTGCAGAACCTCTTTCCCATCCAGATGAATATAACTCTATGGAAGGTGTATGCACTGCAACTGTAAATGATTCCCACTGAAGCCTGAGGTCATGTCAGTGGCAGTCTAATGCTGGCCATACCAGTAGAATTTTCATTTCTTGAACGTTCGTTCAATTTTCTAGGTTTTAGCCATAACTTACCGAATGGCTGTCCTTGAGTTCTATTTGACATTGGATCCAGTGTACAGCAGGAGCAGACTTTGTGGTGCCTCTTTCTCATCCAGATGAATATGGCTCTATGGGAGTTGTGTGCACTGCAACTGTAATTGATTCCAACTGAAGCCCGAGGTCAGTGGCAGTCTAAAGCTGGCCATACACCAGTATAAATTTCATTTCTCGAATGTTTGTTTAATTTTCTAAGTTTTAGGTATGGTTTGCCTGAGTGGCTGTGCTTGAGTTCTACATAGGATCCAGTGTGCAGCAGGGTTGGACTTTGCAGTACCTCTTTCTCATCCAGATGAATATAACTCTATGGAAGTCGTGTGCACCACAATTAAGATTGATTCCCCCTGATACCCATTCAAGGAGGTCTGGACTAAATTTGAAGATCTTTTGAATGAACGTAGCTGACTCAATGGGGTTCATTTACTAAAGGCAAATAGACTGTGCACTTTGCAAAATGAAGTTGCTCCAGAGCTTAGTAAATGAGCAGAAGCTGTGCTAACCTCCATCATCCAATCATGTGCAAGCAAAAATGCTGTTTTTTTTTAATTTTCTTTGATTGGGTATTCTTTGCAAAGTGATGCTCTACCTCGTTTACTAAGCTCTGGAGCAACTGCACTTTGCAAAGTGCACAGCCTATTTTCCTTTAACAAATCAACCCCAATGATGGCACGTGCCCGAGGGCCCGGGGTCAGTAGGGGGCCCCATAAAATGCCCCTGGTACCTTTTATAGGCTTTTTTGGGTGTGTTTTGAGTGTGGGCAAGGACACAGGGGCCCCATGATCCCCAATTGCCCGAGGGCCCCATGAGTTGTCAGTCCGCCCCTGGGCACAATGGAATGTTCTGATGACTGATTTTATCACAAACGTTCAAACTAAAATCTAACAGTGTATGGCCAGCATTGGTGTGATACTAAGGCTTGCGAGTCCACTGTAGTAGGACGGTGGGGTGACACAAGAATATTGACCGAGGGAAGGCCAAAGTATAAATCAGGTCCTGAGGGCCAGAGGTATTGGGGATAGGAGAGAGATGGCGCATGGAAAGGGTTGCTCTGTTTTAATAAGTTGCCCTTTTTATTTTTTATTTCTCTTTTGTGTGTGATACAAATCCTTAATAAAATAAATATTGTATTGTAAGTGTACTGTCTCCCTTTATTTTGCGCAAACTGCTGGCACTATAAATCCTGTATAATAATAGTAATATAATTGTAAAATGGATCATGTATCGAACAGTTTCCAGTATCATCAGCCTGGCTTCCTATATGCCTTGTGTAGGGTTAATTTGCACATGTCACATGCAGTAAAATCTGACCTGCCTCAGTGTATGTACATTATTAATTCCTTTGCTAGGGTCAGTGATGATCAGAAGCTCTGCAATACTGCCATCTGCTGTATTAAGGCAGAATTTTATGTAACCCAAAAAAAAAAAAAAAAACCAGAACCCAATCCCAACACAGGGCTGTGAACTTCCAGCATCTGAGCTCTTGATGTAGCATAAGCAGGGGCGGACTGACAACTCATGGGGCCCCCAGGCAATAGGGGATCATGGGGCCCCTGTGTCCTTGCCCAAACTCAAAAAAGCCTATGAAAAAGGTACCAGGGGCATCTCATGGGGCCCCCTACTGACCCTGGGCTCCCAGGCAGTGCCCGAGTTTCCAAAATGGTCAGTCCGCCCCTGAGGATAAGGTAAGTATTCTACTGCAGGGGCTAATTTAGATATGCAGCTTTAATGGGTGGGAACCTTTACCATAGAAGGAAAAATATGAATCTATATGAAGAGTATGTAGAGGGGCACGTCAATATTATTATTATACAGGATTTATATAGCGCCAACAGTTCGCACAGCACTTTACAATATAATAATACACATCACAGCCTAATGCCAGCTCTTGGTGAATTTAATGCTAAGAATTAGTTCAGGGGTTAGGTGAATGCTAGAGCGGTTAGTTAAAATAACACCCTCAGCCTGTATTAGTTTAACATATTGAGAGCAATAAAATAAACATTCCCCAGTAAATTATTTGTTAAAATTCTTACTTCAACATTTGAAGTTAACAATTTTCAGTGCTGTTGGTTCCTGCTCTCTTGGTGCTGCTTCCCTAAACTCCCACAATAAAGAGTTAATAGTAGACAGTGCAGTCTCCATCCAGTATTTTAGCATGGAGAGTAGGGGGGAAGGGAGGAGCAAGGAAATTCTGTGCCCTCCTAGGCTATGGAGCTGTGTGTTTCCATTGATGCACACAGTGTAGGGAGACACATTTTGCAATACAAGGGTAAATTGCACATATTGGACAAATGCATATCTCTGCATGCAATCCCATATGGAAGAAAAATATATTTGAAATATATTTTAAAAATATATATATTGCCATATATTTGAAATGCTACAATGTTGGCGATATTTAAAAAAAAAAAAAAAAATTATATATATATATATATATATATATATATATATATATATATATGCATGTTGATAATGCATTTTTTTTTTAATATATTCTTCAGATTTTTTTAACATGTAAAAAAGTAATTTTAACATATATTTTTACAAATATTTGTAAATGCATTCCAAAAATGTAGATTTGTATTTTTAAAGATATACAGTATATTTGAAATGTATTTTTAAAAATATTTTTCATATATTTTGTAATAAGAACGCATTTCAACATGCAATATATATATATATTTATTGAAATATATTTTTGAAATATATTGAATAGGGCAAAATTGTAGCCTTTCAAATATATGGCAATATATTTGGGAAGAATATTTTTAAAATATATTTCAAATATATTTATCTTCCATGTGGGATGGGTGCTTCATAGAATGCTGAAAGAGGGAGGAGCCACCCTGAAACAGGAAACCTAGGCTAGAGGTCATGGCACCAGCTTAAACTGGAACATAGGTAAGGGTTAAACTATTAAAAAGCTTCATACTCAGTAAAGGATCATTTGCTTGAGCCTGGGTTCACGATGATGCGGTGCGTAATTCGCACCGGTTTCTGTATGAATTCTGCACCGCATCTCAATCGCACCCCGTTCATGCGAACTGATGCGGGTGTGTATATTAGGTTAACACCCCGAAATCTGTTCACAAAACGCAGTGCGATGTGCAGAATCGGATCACATGGGTATAAATACCCATGTGATCCGATTCTACTGCAGACCAAAAAAGGGTACTGCACCTTTTTGGTGCAGATGCGGCACGATTTGGCTCAAATTGCACTGCACAGAATTCGCATGTGATTTGCACGGGAATGCGGTACGGTTCCTGTGCGAATCACATGCGATGTGCCGCACTGCAGAAGTGTGAACCCGGGCTTAAGGTGCTTAAAACTTGAAGGTTTAATATCAACTTCGAGTGTAATAAATTGAAATTAGTATTTCAGGAGTTCAATTTTAGTTTAAATGTTACAGGTTAAGATTAAGTGGTCACAACACGCTACAATCTGACTGTGCCATCTACATTAGATCTACTTACAAATACTGTGTGTAATTATGCAGCACCTGCCTGATTGTATAGAGATTGACTGAATAATTTAGGTAGCTCCTCATATTACATGTCTCTGGTAAATCTAAAGTTAATTGTACATAGATTGTATGGTCAGATTGCAATGTGTATTGTATGTTTAAAGTGTTACTAAACCCAGGACCCTGCATTCACTATATCCAGTCTCCACGGACCCTGCATTCACTATATCCAGTCTCCCCGCACCCTGCATTCACTATATACGGTCTCCCAGGACCCTGCATTCACTATATCCGGTCTCCCCTGACCCTGCATTCACTATATCTGTTCTCCCCGGACTCTGCATTCACTATATCTGGTCTCCCCGGACCCTGCATTCACTATATCTGGTTTCCCCGGATCCTGCATTCACTATATCCGGTCTCCCTGGACCCTGCATTCACTATATCTGTTCTCCGCGGACCCTGCATTCACCATATCCGGTCTCCCCAGACCCTGCATTCACCATATCTGGTCTTCCCAGACCCTGCATTCACTATATCTGTTCTCCCGGACCCTGCATTCACTATATCTGTTGTCCCCCGGACCCTGCATTCACTATATCTGGTCTCCCCCTGGACCCTGCATTCACTATATCCGGTCTCCCAGGACCCTGCATTCACTATATCCGGGCTCCCCAGACCCTGCATTCACTATATCTGTTCTCCCCGGACTCTGCATTCACTATATCTGGTCTCCCCGGACCCTGCATTCACTATATCTGTTCTCCCCGGACCCTGCATTCACTATATCTGTTCTCCCCGGACTCTGCATTCACTATATCTGGTCTCCCTGGACCCTGCATTCACTATATCCGGTCTCCCCGAATCCTGCATTCACTATATCCGGTCTCCCCAGACCCTGCATTCACTATATCCAGTCTCCACGCACCCTGCATTCACTATATCTGGTCTCCCCGGACCCTGCATTCACTATATCTGTTCTCCCGGACCCTGTATTCCCTATATCTGGTGTCCCCCAGACCCTGCATTCACTATATCTGGTCTCCCAGGACCCTGCATTCCCTATATCTCCCACAGTATACACAACATGGAAATGCAATTATTTTAGAAAATATAAACTGCTAAATACCCAACTAGTCTTGTGACTTCTATCAGTGTCCAGCAGAGCACTGGTTAAAGCTTGTAGGAGGAGTTTCCATTCTCCCCTGATTATCCTATAAGGCTGTATAACCCCTGACCCTCTGTCTGGACAGCGCTGATTGGCCCTGTGCTGATCACATGCACCCACCCAAGAAAAAAAAACCTCTCTAGCAATATACAACAAACTAAGCTTGTGCAGCTTTCCCTCAAGGCTCTGTTCTATCGGCAGATATTTAGAGGACAATGGAAGAAGGGGAGGATCAGAGAAGACAGGATCAAACAGACTTTTTTTTTTACAGAATGTGGAGGATTAACCCCTTAGGTTCCACAGTGAGTATAACAAGCATGCTTTACTGCATATACAGACTGATTTTACTTTTGTGGGTTTAGTAACACTTTAAGGGCTTACTTTGAGTGTTAGGTTAATGATTGACTTCTCTAAAACCTCCCTGCCCATCGCTGCTCAACCGGATGAATTTTGATCCATGTATGGCAGTCTTAAGAATTAGGTGTTAAAGGTTAGTTATCACTCGTTATAGTTGGGTTCAAAGTAACAGAATCTTAAGAGATTTAGATAAGTAGCTAGGCATTAAAGTAAGGGGATGGTTAAAAAAAAAACTCTGGGATATTTAAAAATCTTTCCTTGTAGTGGTGCTGTACTTGCACAGCAAGGATTAAGTGCTTGCTCACTCTAGGCCAGAGGTCTCCAAACTTTCTAAACAAAGGGCAGGTTTACTGTCTTTCAGACTTTAAGAAAGCCAGAGTGCCCAGTGGGAGTAGAAAATGTCCCGGTGTCAGTAGGAGTAAAAAAAAAATGACATAGTGCTTGTAGTCAGTGGAAGGAGGAATAGTGCCCCATCATTGGTGTCAGTGGAAGGAATAGTGCCCAATCATTGGTGTCAGTGGGAGGAACAGTGCCCTATCATTGGTGTCAGTAGGAGGAATAGTGCCCCATCATTGGTGTCAGTAGTAGGAATAGTACCCCATCATTGGTGTCAGGGGAGGAATAGTGCCCCATCATTGGTGTCAGTGGAAGGAATAGTGCCCAATCATTGGTGTCAGTGGGAGGAATAGTGCCCTATCATTGGTGTCAGTGGGAGGAACAGTGCCCTATCATTGGTGTCAGTAGGAGGAATAGTGCCCCATCAATGGTGTCAGTAGGAGGAATAGTGCCCCATCATTGGTGTCAGTAGTAGGAATAGTGCCCCATCATTGGTGTCAGTGGGAGGAACAGTGCCATATCATTGGTGTCAGTAGGAAGAATAGTGCCCCATCATTGGTGTCAGTAGGAGAAATCGTGCCCCATCATTGGTGTCAGTAGGAGGAATCGTGCCCCATCATTGGTGTCAGAGGAGGAATAGTGCCCCATCATTGGTGTCAGTAGGAAGAATAGTGCCCCATCATTGGTGTCAGGGGAGGAATAGTGCTCCACCATTGGTGTCAGTGGGAGGAATAGTGCCCCATCATTGGATCCGTGGGAGGAATAGTGCCCCATCATTGGTATCAGTGGGAGGCATAGTGCCCCATCATTGGTATCAGTGGGAGGCATAGTGCTCCATCATTGGTATCAGTGGGAGGCATAGTGCTCCATCATTGATATCAGTGGGAGGAATAGTGCCTCATAATTGGTGTCAGTGGGAGGAATAGTGCCCCATCGTTGGTATCAGAGGAAGGAATAATGCCCCATCGTTGGTATAAGTTGGAGGAATAGTACCTAATTGCTTATATCAGTGGGAGGAATTGTGCCCCATCAGTGGAAGGAAAAATGCCCCATAGTTGGGGCCAATGGAAGAAATGGTGCCTCCTTGTTGGTATCAGTGAGAGAAATAGTACTCTGAGGGCCGGATAGAAGCAAGCAAAGGGCTGCATTCAGCCCACAGGCCACAATTTGGAGACCACTTCTCTAGGAGACAGTAAAATCACTTAGCTCCTCTGACAAATGGTGTTTCTCCTTGCTTTGGCAGTGGACCATCCCCTTGCATCATCATGTGCAATGCAGGGCTATGGACCCTGCATTGGTCTTGATGATGCCAGAACCATAGACCAGTGGAGCACAGATAAGAAGAGGCTGCAGCTGTGTAGAAAAGAGGAGATGAACGGGGAAGTAGATCTTTTGTTCTATGTCACCTAAACAAGCAATTAACTCTTGTAGCGCGGGTAGAGCCCAAATGCAAGGGATAATTTGTAAATTTCTTGGAGTTAGTCTGTAAACTACAGTCTCACTTTTAAAAACTGTGAGCAGGTAGGCAGCAAAGACATCCAATGTCTTTTGTTTAATAAAAGAAACCTACCTGCCTGCTCATTGTCTTTGGAATGTACACTGAGCTGCACTAGGGCAGCTCAGTGTACATTCCGGTACAGTGCCTGTGTGCTGGGACGACTGTGCTCCTGCACAGGTGTAACAGCATCCCACACCAGCCAATAAAGATGAACATAACTGGGCACCGAGAGGAAGCTGGCTAGAAGATGCCGGTGTTGACTGTAGAAGGTTAGGTAAGTATCATGGAGTTTAGCTCCGCTTTAAGTCTGCTCTAGAGTTAGGAACGTTTTAAATATTAGAAAAGCTTCAGGATTCTCACTTGTTCTCAGAGCCAAAAGCTCTACCGTTCAGACCTCATGCAACAGGAGCGGGCGTTCCTGCTTGCGATTTTTGAGCAATTTTGCATATCGCACATAGGGAAACCCATTTACTGCAAATAATATAAAAACAAGAATATATCCGCGCTGACTGCCAAAGGTAAAGCAGCTGACACAATTAGGAAGTATTAGGCTAGGTTCACATCTGTGCGGGTGGTGCAGCTGTGGATCCGCACAAAAATCTGTGCAGCCGCACCACCCGCACAGAGTAATGCGGACCCTTGGGTGGATGCCATTAATTCACTGGAAATCGCAACCGTACTGGGAACCTCAGTTACCGTGCGGGCTGCGTTTTCAGAAGTGCAGGGACTTCTTCCCTGCGTATCCCGGGGCAAGGGTGTCCATTCAAATTAATGGGCTCTCATGCCCGCGCAAAACGCGGACCGCAGGAACATGGATATGTGAACCAGGGGTTAAACCCAATGTACTCAATTTACTTCAATGGGCTGCCCTATGCGCGTTAACCACCCAAAAGAAGCTCCTTTTTGGGTGACAAGCTTAGTGCCATTGTAAACTTGCATTTTGCTGCAATTGGCAAGGGATTATGTTGCGCGACAATTGCAGCAGACTCGTAACGTGTTTGGGGGTGCCATTAAAGAAGAATGGCACCCAAATATGCGTTTCGCGGTCTGCCGCAATTTGTAATTGTGGCGATTCTGGCCTACGATTTCAAATAACGAGATCTGTACAGGGCCTAAGAAGTACTGCTCTTGAAGTACGCACAGAAGCCCAACTTTTGATCAATAATAAATGGAAGGAACGTAATGAGGAAAAATGTGGCAAATGCCGCTTTATCGTGCAGCAGACAAGCAATGATTGATTTATACCAAGGAGCAATAGTAATTTACAGTTTAACTACAGTAAACACAAACACCTATTCATTGAGCAACAGTGTGCGGTCCAGCTAATGGAATATATCCAATTCAGTAGAAGCTTTCTAAATACTAATGCATAATAGATCTTTTTTTATTAAATGTAACCTGTAAGAGAACTGTGAAGGCTGCCATAGCTGAACCGTCCTTCTGAAAATGCTAGCAGCCTGGCTGTTATCGTGACCATATTGTATGGTTACTACAGATCAGTAACTGAAGGCATTGAAGCCAGAGGATCAGCATAATAGTCAGCATTTCCAGAAAAAAAGATCACCATTGGCAGCCTCATATTCCTCTTTTGTCAAGTCTACTTTAGTCCTCTGTGTTAGCTTATGAGAGGCTGGTACTACTGTTTCAACCAACTATATTTTTGCAGTATTGTCAGAGTTATGGGCAGCACAGTGGCCAAGTGGTTAGCACTTCCACCTGGCAGTACTAGGGTCGTTGGTTCGAATCCCAACCACGGCACCACCTGCCTGGAGTTTGCATGTTCTCCCTGTGCCTGCGTGGGTTTCCTCTGGGTACTCGGGTCTCCTTCCACACTCCAAAGACTTGCTGGTAGGTTACTTGGGTCTGGTCTAAATTGGCCCTAGTATGTGTATGTATGAATGTGAGTTAGGGACCTTAGATTGTACACCCCTTGAGGGTTAGGGACTGATGTGAATGTACAATATATATGTAAAGTGCTGCGGAAATTGAGAGCGCTATATAAGTACCTGAAATAAATAAATGTATAGCTCAATGTACCGTAACCTTATGACATATGCTTAGTATCCCAAGTATAAATACAAATATAGTAAGTGCTCAAAACAAAAACAAAAAAAAAAAACACACAAGTCCCAAAATAATAAATTAGTCCTTCAAAATATCAAAGTCATTCAAAATCAACCTCCAGGTGAAGACAGCCTCCGAAGTAATTTCTGAAACCAAAAAACCTCAAAAAAAAGAAAAGAAAGGAAAACGCACATAGTGTATTATCCTCAACTTGAATTATTCATTCCATAACGCATGTGAGTCACACAAAAACACTCGTGAACACTATATGGTAAAGTGAATAGCTGTGTAAACACGTGCCCGTGAAACAATCT